GATGCTGCTGAGATGGCACAGACCACAGACGACAAGCCACGCGGAGGGAGGTCAAAGAGAGAGGGAGAGGGCTGGGCAGAAGGCGAGCGACACGGACAGACCGGGCACGGGCACGTGATCAGGGCAGGACTAAGCGGGGCCCTGCTTGAGATTTTTCCTGGCTTTCCTGGGAAAAAAATGTGCCCCCTTTTCATGGAATTATGATCTGGAAGGACGATGTCTTTTGAGGTTGCCAGCAGCCACTTTGCTTTGATGTAGAGAGCACCCATCTGAAGATCAAACAATGACAAAGGAAAGGAAACGGAGAGATGGTGAGAGAAAGAAACGAGGTCTTGATGATATTATTTGAACTCTTGGATACAGCTGTGTCTAAAGCGAGATCTACCTTTAGACTTCTGAACAATTATATACGTACACGTAAAATTATACATATACAGTATATATTTTCTCCTCACGTATTACGATGCTAGCCAGTTCTTAGAGATAGCAAAGGCCTAGCAAGTGGCGTGCCTGGAATATGCAAGCTAAGCTGGAGCCGGACCGCCTCCATCTGGCCCAGAAACTCCGGGAGGCAATATTGCTCTGCCTTCGTCATCCCAGGGCCAGGCACCGGGCAACGAGGAGCCGCTAAACAGCACAAAGCCCTCCAAAAATATTCCACTCAGCCAGTCCTACACTGTTTACCCTGCCCGGCCTGGCCCTTCCTGTGGAAACTCTGAAATACGTGGTTGGCCTAAGCTGTCCCCGCCCTCCTGCCTTCCGCCCCCTGCCCAGCCCAGTGCTCTTCCACATGGCCCCCGGTGGCGCGTCATGCCTCCTCTCTCTAGGACCTGGGAGGCTAATAAACTCCGTTTCCCATGAGCCTCTCCTGGACCTCCCCTTACGGCCCCCATCTTTTATAAGATGTGACCATCTTATAAAATGGTCACATCTTATAAAAGAACAGAAAACAACTTCCCAATCACAAAGATCAATAAATTCTCTCTTTGGCTCAAGCTAGTTTGAATAGGGCATTTGCTATGGATTCTTGAGTAATACCAGAAACTCATAAAAATCTAAAAGTGTACAGCTACCAACCTTCAGCCACCTGAACTCCAGCAACAGAATGAATATATATGGGTTGTGACAACTGCAGCCCGCAGGGCCAGCTGGTGCAAATTTTTCTTATGCCTTCATTTCCTCTGAAATTGGTTATTACTGGCAAGTTTTTAGAGTAGCTCAGCTGCACCACTGTTAATTTCTCCATCTCATAAATTTGGGGAGTCATGAGATTAAAATTCTAGGTTAGATCTGACTTGACCAAATTGTGAGGTACTGAGGCAATGAAAAAAAATTGTATTTTAAGTTTCCTATCCTTTATTTAAGACTCCCTTGAGCCAAATATGTTTTCCATTTGGGTGCCTTAAAGGAGAGATACAGACATATTCTCACCTGTCATTTCAAGGGATACTTTGACTTCTTCTCAATTATAATTCTTTCTAAGTCCGATGGAATTGATTTTTCTCTCTCATATTTCTGCCTTTGGGGGAACTTTGTAAGTAGTGAGCTCTTTAGTTGCAAGATGAAAATAATGATTTGTACACACCCTCCCCTCAATATCTGAAAGAAGCCATGATGAATAAATCAGCAAATACCTGAATTAGCCGAAGAAATTTGTTATTTTTAATGGTATACAATACTTATTGTTTATAAAGCGCTGTGTGATTTTTTACCTTTTCCTGTGGTACCAGCAGTATTGCCATGTTTATAATCACTAACCAGGTCTTACATTTTGGAAACATCTTTCATTTGTGAAATATGATTTGAATAACTAGAGACATTAGAAATCTGAATGAGATTTGAGGGATTTAGAGCTGAAGGAAGGAGGATCTTGATCTAGGACATTCTTCACTGTACGGATGTAAAAATGTTTCCTTTTGAAGAGGATGGGGAGGGTAATGCCAATCATTTTAGCTATTTCCCTAAGATGAGAGAAGCGGCAAAAGCAAAAGAGAGAGAACTATGCAAAGATACAGAACTGTAGAGAATTCCAAAGAGTCATGGGATTTCTCAGAGTCATTTCTCAGAGTCATTTTTTTTAAACCAGGAAAACATAAAGTAAATATTCAATATCTGACTTGATCTCAGGATTTGAAGGAGCCACATCTATGTGTGTGCCTCTTTGCTCTTCCTAAAAATTATCTTCCTTAATATCGCTTTGGAACCCAGCTTCATAAACATGGAATGGTTTCACCCTGATTTGTGATGCAAATGGATGATTAATCCAGACTAGGTAAATAGGGAGATAAGTGAGCATAAACACCCATGCTGCTAGACTTTACATATGCACATTTCATATCAGACCCAATAGACACTTAAGCCTGCCCATCAGAGCAGATATTTATAGCAGGGGAAGTTCTGGGTTGGCCTGTCTGCCTCGAGCCATTTGGGAACTGAACTGGCTGGAGCCGACTGCAAGGTTTAGGCTGTGGGAGAATGACTCTGGTTCCTTTTCAGCCTAAAGCAATTACCCAGCTGTTGGAAAGTTGAAATATTGGAGCAAATTATATTACCCGAGTTAAAATAAGCACCCCTGAGAATAGCGCTCTATATATATTAAGGTGCATGTATTATGTAAGAGTTAACATTCCTATTTCTATATCTTATAAGTCAGCCTTGGAATCTTAACTGAAATAAATTTGTTGTTAATATGTTTTTGGCTACTTGTTTTCATTGGCGTGTGTGTATATATATGTGTGTGCGCATGTATGTGTGTGTATATGTATACACACACGCATACACACACACACACACACACACACATATCCAAAGCCATTATCCCCCGAAGATTGGAACTTCCAGAAATATCCTTGGCAAAGCCACCAATAAAAAGAAATCTAGCCCTGGCTTGTGTGGCTCAGTGGATTGAACGCTGGCCTGTGAACCAAAGGGTCACCAGTTCAATTCCTAGTTGGAGCACAGGCTTGGGTTGTGGGCTGGGAACCCAGTTGGGGGCACACAAGAGGCAGCCACACATTGATGTTTCTCTCCCTCTCTTTGTCCCTCCCTTCCCCTCTTTCTGGAAATAAATAAAGTCTTAATAAAAAAGAAATCTAGACACACACACACAAAACATATTTTGAATGTAACAACTGTGGAGTTTGACCTAAAGCTGATAATATGCTTTAAAAAAAAAAGTCATTTACTCACAGCTGGTCTTATTTGATCCATATTGCACCCCTGTAGAGTGCACAGGGCATGTAATGTAGTATTTTCAGTTGACAAAATAAAGTCTTTGCAAAAAATGGCTTGCCCAAAGCTGTACAATTAGCAAGTGACACACTCCTTCACTTCCTTTGGGCCCCTACTCAAACATCTTCTTATCAGAGGAGCCATTCCTGATCACAGTAAACACAGGACGATTTCTCTTTCCTTTTCTTCTTACCCTGCCTCCTTTCACATTATGGTATTTATTACCAGCAGGCTTATTCATTTTTATGGTCTGTTTTCCCCTCTAAAATGTGAGCTACATTAAAGCAGGGACTTTGTTTTGTTCAAAGCCCCTCAATCAAGTCCCTGGCACACGGCAAACCTCAATGAATATTTATTGCTTAACTACAATTATGTTAATTGCCCAGCCAGTGTCATTGTTTCCTACCCAAGTCAGCCTCCCTTCAACATCTTGCTCTTTCTGCCTCACTAACCTGCGTTCTGTATCAGGAAAGATGCAAACTCCACCACTGATATACATCAGTTCTTAGGACTCTCGTATTTAAACTGGAAATTTTATGCATATTAGGGTCGATTTGCTATTGAGCATAACTTAACAAATATTTTTTGCACACCTATGATATGCTCTTGGATAAGAAACAATGACCAACTCGCTAATAAAGGGTAGCAATTTACCCAAGAATCTCGAAGCCTGGGAAAGCTCCACACATAAATAATTGTACATGTGGAGCCATCTGTACAAAAATGTTATGTACACCTAAGACTAATACAATGTTATCAGTGAATCAAGTTTGGCAATGAATTGATAATTATTAAAGTTGGGTAATTGGTTCACTATATCATGCTGTTTACTTTTGCATGTGTTTGGAAATTTCCAGAAGAAAAACGACTTTCTTGTTTTTTCCCCTGCTTGATTTAAAATGGTCCCCTTTCTATCAGCCACAGCCAGAGGGTAAATTGCATTGACTTACTAAGCATTGCACAATTGCCTTCTAATATTTTTTAATCTGTTTGTATATTGTCTATTTCCTTTCAGTAGAATGTCAACTCCATGAGGACAGGGACTTGGCGTTATCAGCAGGGTTTATAATGGAGTCTGACACAGCAGTGAGCACTCAAGAAATATTTGTCGGGTGGGCAACTCTTTGTCTCATCTTCGTAGCTTATGTAAGATCACAGTCGTTTTATAAAACAGCTTTAGTTAACTGTGCCCCATCCACATGGTCCCAACCTGGAAGCATGGCTTCAACCCACAGAAAGGACCAGGGGAAGGATTGAGATTTCCCCTATTTTTGGCTAACTTCGATCATTCAAAATCATTAGATACGGGGGAAGAAAACAACAACAAAGGCAGACATAAATACTCTTGAAATGAACAACTGTCATTTCTCTTTTAAAATCTCGAGGAAGAAAGAAAGAAATAGTTCTTGAGATCAAACACGTTTGGAGTTGGGAATGTTAGAGAAAGTAGATGTGGACAGAAAAATGTTAGAATGAAGGAGGAAAACGAAATCAGAAGGAGGTAAGAGAGAAAGCTCACACCATACTGTAAGTATTCACGGTCCTGGACTTGGGTACCACGTTTTGTTTTGTAGATAAACACTAAGAAAGAGAACAAGACGGAGTGAGGTGGGGTGGGGGCGAGAGGAAGGAAGGACGAGAGACGAGGAAGAAGCCAGAAAGAAAGGAGAAGGACCGGGCAGAGCAGCACAAAAGCAGCTTCGGATCTTGCCGGAGACGCAAGCGTTAAGGGGAGGTGGGGAGTGACGCGGTTTGCGTCTGGAGCGGCTCCTTGGAGTCCACGGCATCCGAGCCGGAGCCTCGCCTTCCTTTCTCCCTCTGCAGACATCCGGACACAAAAAGAGAAGAGATCCCGGGACCAGAGCGAGGCACCCACCCGCACCATGACCGAGACCACCAAGACCCACGTTATCTTGCTCGCCTGCGGCAGCTTCAATCCCATCACCAAAGGGCACATTCAGATGTTCGGTGAGTCCTCCCGCCCACCCGCGGAGGCTGCTTCCGCCTCTCTCCTTTCCCCAGCACCTGTGTTTTCCAGGGCGAGGAACGGGAGGCGTGTGGCCCTTCGCAGGGGTGTGCTGGCCGATCCCGCGGGTCGGAAGTCAGCTCCTCTATTCCGGCTCCCGGGAGGGGACGCAGACTGCGCTTTCCAAGCGGCTCTTGCTGGGGCCAGACCCGGCTTGCCGGGGCCAAGAGGTGGGGGAGGGGAAGGGAGGAAGGTGAGTGTTGGTTTGGACTGGGTGGAGGTTCGAGAACTGGGGTGCGGATGCTCGGTGGCTTGGCTACTCCGAGCAAGAGGATCGGGATGGGGCAGATGTTGGGCGTGAGAAGGGAGGAGGGCGTTGGGGATAACGTGCTGTTTGTTTAGGCTGGGCGCACAGCTCGAAGGAGTTAAACCGTGTATATGCATCGGAGACACAAACACACACTCACAGCCCTCCACTAACAACGCTGGGGCTTCAAGGGGATTAATTTAGGGTTTGGATAACGGTCCGGGAGGTCCAGGGGCGAAATGTTGGAGGGTGATGCGCCGTATTTTGCCCGCGGGAGGTGGAAGGCTGAATGAATGGGGTGGGGTGAGGGGGGCGGCTGGCCAGATTGGGCTTGGCTGCGGGGACACCAGCCTCCCAGGAAGGGGAGGGGGCGGGGCGGCCACTGCGGGCGGCCCTTTGCGAGCCGGTGTTGATGGATCCGGACCGAAGTTGGCTGAGGCTCTGCCCAGGGCGACGATGGCACCCGAGAGGCTTGCGCCGTGCGAGTGTGTGTATGAGTGCGTGTGTATGTGTGTATGTGTGCGCGCGCGCGCGTGTGTGTGTATGTGTGTGTGCGCGCGCGCGCGCGCGGGCGCGCGCAAGTTGGGGCGGGGGCAAAGCGCATAATCGCCCCGTTTGTTTCCTGGAGGCTTTGGGCTTGAGACAGAGGGAGCGAGCGGGGGTTCCTGGCCGCTGGTCTGGAATTTTAGCTCGGAAAGGCGATCGACGCCTGTGGAAGATCGCGGGCCACCGGCGGGTAGACCACGCGGCTTCGCTGCTGCTCGGGTAGGACCCGAAGGCGCGGGGGAGTGAGCGGTTAGAGCTTGAGAGAGGGACGCGGAGGTCACTTTAGAAGCAGGCTTGAGGAGAGGTTAGAAGTTGGGGGTGCTTTTTTCCCCCTAGCACTGAGGGAAAAGAGAAGAGGAGAAAGAGTAGGCTGGGGCTGGGGATGGATGAGTGACAGGCAGAGGCCCGACCTGGGCGCCGGCGGGGCGCTATCCAGAGGCGGCGGTGCTGAAACGCAGGGTGTGCCGGAGCTGGCTGCGGGCACACGTGTTTACCCGGAGCTTCAGGACTGCCGAGCCCGCCTAGGGCTCTTTCATGAAAGCCACAACATACCGGTAAAGACTGGCAGAGGCGTCTTATACTGAAAACATTCTTCTTTAAACCTAAAATGTGTGTTGAACTGGGCCCGCTTATGAAAAACCTCATGAAAAGAATATAGAATTACTTTGAGCCTAGGGCAGATCAGGTTGGCTCACTTACACGATTCAAGGAAGGAGACCGAGAGGAAGCCAGCCCTTCCTCACCATCCCTTCAGCCTTTAAAGGTGTTTTATTAGGAGATAATGCCAACTTTCTTATTAAATAAAGACTTTTTGTTAAGCATCAGGGTAGACCGGAGCATCTCCTGTCTTCTAAAGGAATATCAGAGGCCTGGGCACACTGTACTTTCACTTTCTTTTGATCCTGGTGTCTCCGATCCTGGCCTCCTTTTCCTCTCTCCGTATTTCCTCTAGTCATTTTATGTTGACCTCCTCCATTCCTCTCCAGTGCCCAGGCAGGCGTGGACTTCCCTCTGGACGCCTTGGCTCTAGGAATCTTTAGTGAGCCGGTGGGCACTACTTCTTTCTTCCTGGGGCTGAGGATGTAGTTAATTCTTCCTTGTTAGGGGTTGCAAGGGGGACAGATTTAGACTGAAAACCAAGGATTCTCTCGTGCAGCTGGAGAGTTTGGTAACAATGATAAAGGCTTTTGCTAAGTCAATGCTGATCTGCCAATTCCTCAGGACTTTAGAGGATGGAAGGCATGGGAATAGGCATGGGTTACAATATGGAGGTTTAGACACAGAGCAGATGAAAAGAGACTTTTGACAGTAGTGACTGCTTGTTATCAGAACGGAGGAAGAAGAGAATGTCTGCCAATCAAACCTTTTGAGTGTCTGTCAGTCACATGAAATCCAGAGAACAATGTGGAAGGAGGAAATTCATGCTCACTGTGCATTTTAAGAAGCTTGTGGCCTAATAAAGGATTTAGCACAATACACATGTGAGCAGGTAACATGAATGCAAAATACATATTAAACTTTTTTTTTGTAGTATCTGTTTTGGGAACTTTTGAGCTTGTGATAAATACTGTAATTTATTTTTGTAGAGTAGTTTCTAGTTTGCAATGCCTTTGCATATATGTTAGTTCACATTACTAATAAACTTACAAAAAGGCACCATTAGCTCCATGTTACAAATGAAAAACTGATGTTCAGTGTCAAAGGGACTTTCTTAAGTGGCTTAAGTTGTTACCAGGCTTCCAGATCTGCCACCCTTCCCATTCACCTCCTATCCAAACACACCTCTTTCTAACTCATTCTTAGCCAGCCCCGCTGACTTCCTTACTCTTGTTTTAAAGTCTTTGTACTGAATGTTCCCACTGCCTGAATCCCCATCCGCATAGATCGCCAAGTCTAATTCACTCTCCTCAAAGTCTTTGCCCAAATAACTGTCTCATTGTCCATTTGGCGGTTTCTATTTTCCTGATTACACAATTTAAAATTATTTAAAGCTCACGTATCCCAGTCCCCCTTATCCTGTTCTATCTTTTCCCCTTACCTTTTAACACCTCTTAACAAAGCATGTTTTTTTCCTCATTTGTTATGTTTATTGTTTAGTACCTGTATTCCCAGCTACAATGTGAACTCTTCAAAGGGCAGGGATTTTCATTTACTCTACTTAATAATGTAAGTCAGGCTCCCAGAACAGCACCTGGCACACAGTGGATGCTAACTAAGTGTCTGAATGCATAAACTGTTAGAATTACCTCCTGTTATTTCCTCAAGTCTATATTCTTTCTGCCACTGGAAGGGTAGAGTCCTGAGAAGATTCAGTGGCCCTTGATCCATTCAATAAATGTTAATTGAGTTGTGAATGTGCCTCAGGCACCATCTAAGCCTCAGAGAAATGGAAATTAAAGACACTCCCTCCTATGCCTCAGGGACAGCATCTTCAGTAGAGGAGATAAACAAACTAAACATAGCAGTTCAAGTCATAAGCGCTGTAAAAGAGGTGAGAATGAAGTAAGGTAGGACATAAAGGAAGATGTTACCACCCTAGGCATGGTGAGGGGGCCAGCTGGACAGGTATTAGTGAGGGTGAGCTTAAAGGACAGAGCTGCCTGGTGGACAGGATGGAGAATGGCATCCTAGGCTGAGAGCAGGATGTGTGGAAAGGCCCCCAACGCGCTGCGTATTAAGGGGTCTCCAAGGAGCTGCCTAGATGCTTGGAGCGAGGGCAAGAGATGAGAAAGCCAGGAAACAGGTGGGGGGAGGGGCAGGGCCAGAGTTCAGACTTCCCCCAGAACTTTTTAGTTAGCCCCCAAAGGGTGATAGGCAGAGAAAGTACCTTTCAGACGTGGGGTTCGATCCCAAATGTCCGTGTTCCCTTTGTTGGGGACCTACTGCCATGATTTTATTGAATCATTTTAATGTTATTATTTTTTTAATTTTGTTATTATTTCTGTGTCACTTTTTGAAATAAGGAGGGCTCTTCCTTTATGATTTTACTTATTTATATTTATTTTCTCAAGTGGAACCATAGTAGGTTGTTCAGGCCCTATCTATTGAAGGAATAAATGAGTGAAAAATTATACTGCTGTACAACCCACCCAAACAATCAAACAGCTACTCCTCAGAGGGGAAGTTGTTCTCACCTAGGTTTTAAATGTACTCCTCCCTTTTTACTTCAATGGGATGGCCCCCTCCTTATTCGGGTGTTTTAGATTTGGTGAACTCCATTTGCCCTAGTATGGTCTTCCATGATTTTGTAGAATTTGGATCACGTGCCTACCCCTTTCCCCCAAGCTTAACTGTCTGAAGTGTAAGGACCATGGGGAGCCTTTCCTTTGCCTTTTGTTTTCAGCTCTAGTCCTCTGGGGGGGGGGGCGGTCTCAAACAAGTCTATTTCTGCTCTTGCTATGAAGCTGTAGGTCTTTATGACCTTGAAATTTATAATATTATTTTAAAGCCTCAAAGAAATGACACTCCAGTGGGGTGGGGGGTGGAATGCATTTTCCAATGTTTTATTCATCAACATTTTCCTAACTGTTCATCTTGGTACCTATAGAAAGATGGAGTCCTTATTCCATGGAGCACTGAGATTAAACCACATCAATAACTGTTAACATTTCTTTTGAAATATTTATGTGCTGATAAATATTTAGCAGTGTGTAGCTCATCACATGAACTGCAAGATCTTTAGATGGCAAATTTTTGTAAACTTAGAGATTGGCACCGTTATAAATTAAAATTAAGAAAGACAATAAAACCTAAGATATAATTGCTTCATTTACCATGAACCAATCTTGCTGAGCATGAAGTTTAAACATTATTTACTTGTTATGTCCCAGGGAATTGAAGTTTATAGATGATATATGATTTTCCTATACTGTGAATCATGTTATAAAGAGTGGGTAAATATCACAGTTTTTTTCTATGCTTTATTATTTCTCTTTATATGGAAATTAATAAACTAAATTACTATTGATTCAAGAATACATTTAGTCTCCTATAGCCTTTGTTTTACCATTTATAAACAGTGTGATTGATTTAATTCCAGGGGTTTGCTAACTCTACAGTTTGCTGGCTAAATGTGTCTTGCAAGCTAAGAATGACTTTTATATTTTTAAATGGTTGAAAAAAATGTAAAAGAATAATATTTTGTGACAC